TTTCTCTGAAAGCTAAATCTCAGGCGAATCTGAGCTCGTGTGTGTTTTTTGTTTTTGAGACAGAGTTTTGCTCTTGTTGCCCAGGCTGGAGTGCAATGATGCGATCTCGGCCCACTGCAACCTCCACCTCCCAGGTTTAAGTGATTCTCATGCATCAACCTCCCAAGTAGCTGGGATTACAAGTGTGCGCCACCACACCCAGCTAATTTTGTATTTTTAATAGAGATGGGGTTTCACTATTTTGGTCAGGCTGGTCTCAAACTCCTGACCTCGAGTGATCCACCTGCCTTGGCGTCTCTTAAGTGCTGGGATTACAGGTGTGAGCCACCATACCCGGCCATGAGCTTATGTGTTTGTATGTTTTATAGGCAGAACAGATGGAAAAGAAGCAACATGAAGAATTGGAACTGAGCCCTGACCAATGGCGGAAAGGAAAGAAGTCTACTTTCCGGCACGTTGGAGATGACACCACTCGCCTGGAGATCTGGATTCATCCATCCCATCCACGGTCTTCCCAGGGCACTGAGTCTGGGAAGGATTCTGAGCAAGAGAATGGGCTGGGCAGCCTGAGTCCCAGTGATGTAAGTTCCTGAAAGTGATACAATGAGCCCAACTAGCTCAGTAGGCCTGGGTGCCTTGGTTCCTACAGCTGTGAGGCACAGATACTTCCCTCTGATTGCAAGGAAGACAAACCACTTGAGGCTCCCTGATGATCTTTTCTCTTCTCATGGATGCTTCGTTTTTATTATGTACTTCCCCCTCTCACCACTATGTGTCACTGCAGAATTTAAAAAGTAGGATTCGAATTTTTGTTTGTTTGTTTGTTTTGTTTTTGTTTTTTTGGCTGCTTTTTGTTCAGCGTCATCAACATGATGCTTTTTTAGGATTCTATGTGGGATTTTGTACTTATTTTTTCCTCTTGGTTGACCTTATATTCTGAGACTGAACTAAAGTAGCATGGATAGGTTGGTTAGTCTGATTTGTGATCAGCCTTCTATGGGATATCCTCTTTTTTTTTTTTTTTTTTTTTTTGGGACGGAGTCTCGCGCTGTCGCCCAGGCTGGAGTGCAGTGGCGCGATCTCGGCTCACTGCAAGCTCCGCCTCCCGGGTTTACGCCATTCTCATGCCTCAGCCTCTCGAGTAGCTGGGACTACAGGCGCCCGCCACCTCGCCCGGCTAGTTTTTTGTATTTTTTTAATAGAGACGGGGTTTCACCGTGTTAGCCAGGATGGTCTCAATCTCCTGACCTCATGATCCACCCGTCTCGGCCTCCCAAAGTGCTGGGATTACAGGCTTGAGCCACCGCGCCCGGCCTTCTGTTTGTATTTTAAGAGGCTGTTCATTCCTTTCTCTCCTTATGAGTTCTTGGTTCTTGGAGCACCTCTGCATGTAAGATATAATACTGTGCGAGAAGAGATCTGTGATGCAGTTGCGATGGCGTCTCCCGTAGATAGCATTTCTGGTTTTGTTGTTGGAATTCCTCTCAGTTTGGGAGACAGGCTGGGAGAGAGAGTAGGATTTCCTGAGTCAGCTGCCTCTTGCTGGAGTTAGGAAGAGAATTGGTTGACTGAATATCTCTGGCCTCTTTCCACAGAGGAGGAAGCTTGACGCTGTCTATTACTATATGCGCAGTTTAGCTGCCAGCAACCCTATCCTGACTGCCAAGGAGAGTCTCATGAGCTTGTTTGAAGAGACCAAGCGGAAGGTGAGTGGGGATGTGGCAGAACCCTTCCTTCCTCGAATAATGCATTTCCCTGAGTGTCGGTGTGTCCTGGCTCTGCGCAGTGGCAGGATCGTAGCTGGTGAGATTTATCTGAGGTGCGATTATTGCTGAGTGTCTGTGTGTCCTCAGGGAATGACTCATAGCGTCCTTAAGTGGTCCCGTCAGACTGTGCTGAGGGATGATCGGTCAGCCCCTGTGCAGGACAAAACTGTGATCTTCAGGAGAGCTGTCAGGGGCCCTTGGATGTACATGTACATGCTCTACAGAATTGATAACTTTTATGAGACAAAGCAGATGGCACTGCTACTTTGGGACTGTGGTACAGTCTTTTTATTGTCAAATAAACAAATACCGGTGAGGTGAGGCTTTTCTCTGAAAGCTAAATCTCAGGCGAATCTGAGCTCGTGTGTGTTTTTTGTTTTTGAGACAGAGTTTTGCTCTTGTTGCCCAGGCTGGAGTGCAATGATGCGATCTCGGCCCACTGCAACCTCCACCTCCCAGGTTTAAGTGATTCTCATGCCTCAACCTCCCAAGTAGCTGGGATTACAAGTGTGCGCCACCACACCCAGCTAATTTTGTATTTTTAGTAGAGGTGGGGTTTCACCATGTTGGTCAGGCTGGTCTCGAACTCCTGGCTTCAAGTGAGCCTCCTCCCTCTGCCTCCCAAAGTGCTAGGATTATAGGCCTGAGCCATTTTGCCCAGACAGAAATTGTTTTCTT